AAGATGAATGGCCTCACTGCTCCCTCAGCGACCTGGGATAACACTACGCCTGTCCCATGGACTGGGAAGGGCTGCGTTAGTTCAGGTGACCCCCTGACTTGGTCCCCTTCCACTGCTGCTGCTTCTCCTCCAGATTCCTGCCTGGACTTACAGAGGCCTGGGAGACCTTGCTGGGACAGATGGGGGAGAGGAGGACATGGGCAATCTCAGATCTGTCTGCACCTCCTCTTACTGAATCCAGTAGGTAAATTACTGGCCACGTGGAATCTTTGTTTCTTCTTTAACTGTTCCTGAAGAAGTAAACACTCTTGATGGTGCCCTTACATATCCTTTCCAGTTTAGACGGAGGTTTGATCTGGACAATTGCTGTGCTTGGAGGATTCTGTCCTTGAACACCAGCTGTCCTGAGCCCTGCCACCGCGCCTGGGCAGGTTGTTCCATCAGTGTCACAGCTCTGTCTCCAACATTAACGGCTCCAGCTCATCCTGTCTGTGCCCCTGCTTGAGGGCGTTGCTGCACAGTTGGGCTGAAGCAACAGCTGTAGAACTTGGCCAGCTCATTTTTGCCATTGGTGGAACCAAGTGTGTGCCAAGGCTTTGCTTCAGAGCAGAGACAAGGCTTGGACAAAAGAGAGCTGCGTGTCTGTCCAGCCCCAGGTCTAAAGACCCAGGATGAAATGGTCAAATTTACTCAATGGAACACCTCCTCCCAGCTTGGAGAAATTAAATCATTTTCTGTCACCTTCCTGACATTCCACCTCAATATGGGACTCAGCAGAAGAAAAAAAAAAAAAAAGTGATTCTCATGTCCAAACACTTTTCTGGTCGGAATAATGACATTGCAGGAAAGAAGCGTCTCTCTCCAGCAGAGGGGTGATTGCATCAGCCTGTTTCACAGCAGGTTCCCCTGGAGCCCCAGGGACACCTCCAGGGAGCCCAGAGGGGGCAGAGAAAGTGAGGTCTTGGGCTGTTCCTCTGCTGCTGAGCTGGGCCAGGCCGGGATGGAGGGAGCTCCTGGCCATGGGGCAACCTGCAGAGAGACAGCTCTGCCCAGGAGCAGCTCCTCTGCCAAGCCCTGCAGGGCTGAGGGCACTGCCTGCAGGCACCGAGGGCAGAGGAGGGAGGCAGAGGCAGGTTAAAGGCAATCAGTTAGAGGAAGACTTTGAGCTGAGACCTCACTGGGGGAGAGATCTTCACAGCCCTCTCCATGGTAAGTCTCTGGACAGAGGGCAATGTAGCTTGTGCTCCTGGAAGAATCTCCAAAAGCTGGCATATCCCACAGCCTGTGGGATCTTTCAGGAGGACTCCCCTAGTTTTTCTACTACAGGAGAGGAGGAGGATGTGCTCCAGAGCAGGGCTTCCCTGCTGCACATCAGAGGGACAGGGCATGATGGCTGCTTCTGCTGGGGATGGCATTGGAGGTGTGAAACTTGGTGTGCAGCCAGGAGTGCCCAGGGCTGTCCTTCAGAGCAGGGTGCCTGCACCCCAGGGCTCTGTGTGCTGGGACATGGACTCTGCTGCCTGCCAGGGTCAGCTCTCAGCCTGCCTGGGGGCCTCCTTATGGAGCTGTGGGGAGAAGATGTAGGTGGAAAGAGCAACCCCCAGTAGGACAGGCTCCTGCTGTTGAGAGTTTGGTGATGGGTCAGGGCTGGTCAGAGCTTAAGATCACCTCTGGGCATTCGTGAGGGGACGGATGGAGTTCCCTGAAAGGAAACCACTCTATTTTGAGATCTATCATCTTGGTTGACTGGGTTGGCAGTGGAACATTTTTCAGAGAGACTTTTTAACTGAAAGTTCAAAGGAGTGATTACTCTATAGATTAGGAGCTTTCCTGAGTCTATGTTTACGGTTTATAGCTTTTCATTACATCCTGGGGCCTACAGACAGTCCCAGCATCCCCTTTCCAGTCTCACCAAGCTTTGTGGGACCTGCTTTCCATGCCCTGCACACACGGAGAGGCTGCAGGGCAGAGGTGGGGTCTGTGGTCCCTGGCAGGGAAGAGACGTGGGGCCAGAGAAAGAGCTCCTGGCAGGGAGAGCTCTAGGCAGGAAAGGAGGGACCAGTGATTGGAAACCCTGTTGCAGTGGAGACATGGGCACCTCCCGGCCACCCCTGCAGTGCAGATGTCTTCCCTGAGAAACCCAGAACAGCCCTTGGTCCTCATGGCCATGGGGTCTCAGGTGGGAATAAGCTCCGTGTCCAGCAGAGCAGCAGAAGAGGCAAAGGACATCCCTCCTGCCACGAGCCTATTTCTGGTGACCAGCAATGGGGGTGAGGGCATCTGTCCTGCTTTATCCCTGTCTGGGAGGTGATGGGAAGAGCTGGGTAACATCTTGCTGCCTCTCTCCTTCTCTCAGCCAGATCCTCACTGTATTTTTTTCATCTTATACACATATCTCTTTAACGTTTTCTTTTTCTTGGCATCAGACTCCCCAGGGATGGGAATTTCACCTGCAGAGTCACACACTGATCCTGTTCATCCATTCCTGCAGGTGTGTCCATGGGAACAAGGGTCCCAGCTTTCCTCTGAGCTGTGGGGCTGTGGGCAATGCAGCCTGTGGGGCTGGGGAAGGAGTCCGTTTTCTCTTACTGAGATGCCCACATCAGGACAATGGGGTATCTCACAGAAGTGTCCATCCAAGCTGTGAGCTGTGCTGCAGGATGCAAACCTGTCCCACAGCAGCACTGTGTTATCTGAAAGCCCCACGGAGACACAGAGAGACTCTGTGTCTGAGGAAATGCTGTTGGGTTGGTGAAATGAGCCCTGTGTGTCCTTGGCTGGAAGTGGGGTGCTGAGACCTTGGGAAAGGGTGAGACATTTACTGATCGGAGGTGGGTCCCTCTGCTCTCAGCACTGTCTCCTTGCAACACATCAGAGTGTGATTGCCCTCCATCTCATGAAGGCGCAAGCCCTTGTCAGGTGAGACCAAGACAGAAGGACAAACGAGCTCCCCCAAGCCCCAGGCAATCCTCTTGCGTTGCAGGACTCTCTCTGCTCTCCCTGAGTGCAGCAGAAATACTGAGAGCTTCTGACATCCAAGAACACTCTCCAAGTGAGATGGGGGGAGCTGTGAACAACCCCAAACCTCTGACACTGCCTGCTGCCACCCCAGTTCCTTTGCAGGGGGAGTGCAAATACTGACAAGCCCTTTTGCAATTAAGGGCAACTTCATCCAACAAAGTCAACCACCAGGACTGGCCCCTACTCTTACTGGTCCCATGACTCCACTGCTGCAGAGCAACCCTGCCCCCTCAGCAGCTGGCACACAGAGACCCTGCTCCTCATGACACGCTCGGCCAGCACCAACCAGAGCTCATGGAACGGAACTGAGGAAGGTCTCCTGGAAGAAGAAAAGGGGTGTGTGCAGCAGGGGCGGAGTCCTCAGGACATGGATTGACTTTGCTTGGAGAAGTCTCCACTCACTCACACACGCACTGTATTTTTGTCTTTGAGCAGGTCCCCATTCCCAGAGGCAGCAGATGTCCAACAGCAGCTCCATCACCCACTTCCTCCTCCTGGCCTTTGCAGACACACGGGAGCTGCAGCTCGTGCACTTCTGGCTCTTCCTGGCCATCTACCTGGCTGCCCTCCTGGGCAACGGCCTCATCATCACTGCCATTGCCTGTGACCACCGCCTCCACACCCCCATGTACTTCTTCCTCCTCAACCTCTCCCTCATTGACCTGGTGTCCATCTCCACCACTCTCCCCAAATCCGTGGCCAGTTCTCTGTGGGACACCAGGACCATTTCCTACTCGGGATGTGCTGCCCAGGTTTTTTTCTTTGTTGCCTTGATCTCAGCAGAGTTTTATCTTCTGACAGTCATGGCCTATGATCGCTACGTTGCCATCTGCAAACCCCTGCACTACGGGACCCTCCTGGGCAGCAGAGCTTGTGTCCACATGGCAGCAGCTGCCTGGGGCACTGGGTTTCTCACTGCTCTCCTGCTTGCGGCCAGTACATTTTCAATACCCCTCTGCCAGGGCAATGTCCTCAACCAGTTCTTCTGTGAAATCCCCCAGATCCTCAAGCTCTCCTGCTCAGACTCAAACTACCTCAGGGAAGTTGGGCTTCTTGTGGTCAGTGCCTGTTTTGCATTTGGCTGTTTTGTGTTCATTGTGGTGTCCTATGTGCAGATCTTCAGGGCCGTGCTGAGGATCCCCTCTGAGCAGGGTCGGCACAAAGCCTTTTCCACCTGCCTCCCTCACCTGGCCGTGGTCTCCCTGACTGTCAGTACTGGCATATTTGCCCACCTGAAGCCCCCCTCCATCTCATCCCCATTTCTAGACCTAGTGGTTTCAGTTCTGTACTCGGTGGTGCCTCCAGCTGTGAACCCCCTCATCTACAGCATGAGGAACCAGGAGCTCAAGGATGCCCTATGGAAAGTGGCCCAGTGGATGCTCTGTCACCGACAATAACCTGCCTCTGCTTCTCTGCACATTTGCCAGAGTTTATCTTAGGCCATGTGTCTGCTTGTTTCTCTTCTGATAATCCTACTTATTGGTAATTTTCTGGAATTATGCTACTTGTCTTGAGGCTTGATCCTATTGTGTTTGACTATTGCACAACACTGTGTCAGATCTGGCCTTTCAGATAACAGCTCTTCAATAGCACAGCATCTCCCAGGTTTTTATGGCTCCTCCTTTGCCGGCAACTAGGACAACACAGCCCTGCACTCACTCCTCACCCCCTGCTCCACAGTAGGATACTGTGAAGAAGGAGAAAAAATTAAAAAAGCTCTCATAGGTTGAGATAAAACAAATGAATAGAATAATAATGGAAGAGGAAAATAATAATAATAATAATAATAATAAATAGTGGCAAAAGAATATAGAAAATAATTGATGCAACACAAACTGCTCTCACCACCCAATGGTCGATTGCCCAGCCTGTCCTGAGCTGTGGTCACAGATCCCTGCCCCCCGGTGAAGCCAATTTAGATACTGAGCATGACGTCTATGGTATGGAATATTTCTTTGGCCAGCTTGTCCTGTCTGTGCTCCCTCTCGGTTTCTATGGGAAGCTGAAAAAATATTGAAAAAATTATTACAAATATTACTTAGCAGCAACAATCTATCATCAACCTTATTCTCATACAAAATCCAAAACTGAGCAGCCATTAGCAGCCACGGGCCTTGGGCATTGGACCTCATCGGGATCTGTGGGAAGTGCCCAAAGGAGTTGCCAGAGGGGGAGAACCTGCTCCGAGCCCTCTGTGGGCAGTCAGTTTCTCACCCACAGACACCCGGTACTGGCTGACATGCCAAGGGTGGTCTGTGGCCAGCTGTGATAGAAAAATCTCTGAGAAAACCCACATCCTTCCTGAGCATCAGTTGAGGGCCAGAGAGGGAAGTGACCACCTTACATGATACCAGACCCCTACCTTTAGGGCACCTCCAGGTGCCTAAGAATAGAATTGAAAAAAATATTTCGAGTTGGGAGGGATCTGCAAAGATGAATTAATCCAACTGCCTTCTCAAATATGGCCCTGGAGCGTGCAGAGCTCTTCCGCTGACCAGACAGAAAGGTGCCCCAGAACGAGATGCAGGTCTTTGTTCATTCACTCACTAGAGATCCAGTCACTATAAAGCTGAGGCACATTCCCACCCCTGCACTGTGGACATTTATTTCAGGGCTCTCATTTAAAGGAAAATAAAAAAAAGGCCCTAGGTGTTTGCCAGGTGCCTGGAGTGCCAAACACAACTCCATTCATGAAGAAAACACAGCACAGGACCTCCAGGAGAGCCGTGCCCTGTGGCAGCTGGTGAGGGACAGACATCGCAGGGCCTCCCAAAGGGAACCAGTGCCCTTGTGCAAGAACCTGATGACCAACACCATGGCACAAATGCAAGGTCTGTGCCCTCTACACCCAGGGCTGCTGCAGGACGGGGAGGCAAATCACACCAGGGTGCCCTCCCCTGTACCTGCCTTCTCCAGCCTTAGCATTCTCCTCTCTCTTAACATCTACTTCCCTGCCTGAGGATACAAAAGAGAAGATGATAATAATGTTCCCAGAGTGGCTTCAGCAAAAGCTGTCCACCGCCAATGTCTTTCTCTGCATACCTCACAGCCCTGTGGGCAGGAGCGCTCACCAGGCCACTTGCCATCATTTACCAGCAGTCCTGGCTAACCAGGGAGGTCCCGGGTGACTGGAGGTTAGCAATGGACTGGAGGATGCCAATCTAGAGGAAGGGCCACCAAGGAGAATCCAGGGAACTCCAGGCCTGTCAATCTGGCCTCAGTACAGGGGAACGTTATGGAGCAGATCACCCTGAGTGTCATCATGCAGCATGCACAGGATGACCAGGTCATCAGGCCCAATCAGCATGGGTTTGTGAAAGACAGGTCCTGCTTGACCAACCTGATCTCCTTCTATGACGTGACCCACTCAGTGAAGAAGGGAAAGGCACTGGACATTTGCTGGGTAAAAAAATGGCTGGAGGGTGTCCTGGTTTGATGTAAAACAGAACTAATTTTCTGTTTAGTAATTTTACTTTTTCAGCTGGGTATCCCTCCATCTCATCCCCATTTCTAGACCTAGTGGTTTCAGTTCTGTACTCGGTGGTGCCTCCAGCTGTGAACCCCCTCATCTACAGCATGAGGAACCAGGAGCTCAAGGATGCCCTATGGAAAGTGGCCCAGTGGATGCTCTGTCACCGACAATAACCTGCCTCTGCTTCTCTGCACATTTGCCAGAGTTTATCTTAGGCCATGTGTCTGCTTGTTTCTCTTCTGATAATCCTACTTATTGGTAATTTTCTGGAATTATGCTACTTGTCCTCAGTCTTGATCCTGTTGTGTCTGACTGTTGTACAACACTGTGTCAGATCTGGCCTTTCAGATAACAGCTCTTCAATAGCACAGCATCTCCCAGGTTTTTATGGCTCCTCCTTTGCCGGCAACTAGGACAACACAGCCCTGCACTCACTCCTCACCCCCTGCTCCACAGTAGGATACTGTGAAGAAGGAGAAAAAATTAAAAAAGCTCTCATAGGTTGAGATAAAACAAATGAATAGAATAATAATGGAAGAGGAAAATAATAATAATAATAATAATAATAAATAGTGGCAAAAGAATATAGAAAATAATTGATGCAACACAAACTGCTCTCACCACCCAATGGTCGATTGCCCAGCCTGTCCTGAGCTGTGGTCACAGATCCCTGCCCCCCGGTGAAGCCAATTTAGATACTGAGCATGACGTCTATGGTATGGAATATTTCTTTGGCCAGCTTGTCCTGTCTGTGCTCCCTCTCGGCTTCTATGGGAAGCTGAAAAAATATTGAAAAAATTATTACAAATATTACTTAGCAGCAACAATCTATCATCAACCTTATTCTCATACAAAATCCAAAACTGAGCAGCCATTAGCAGCCACGGGCCTTGGGCATTGGACCTCATCGGGATCTGTGGGAAGTGCCCAAAGGAGTTGCCAGAGGGGGAGAACCTGCTCCGAGCCCTCTGTGGGCAGTCAGTTTCTCACCCACAGACACCCGGTACTGGCTGACATGCCAAGGGTGGTCTGTGGCCAGCTGTGATAGAAAAATCTCTGAGAAAACCCACATCCTTCCTGAGCATCAGTTGAGGGCCAGAGAGGGAAGTGACCACCTTACATGATACCAGACCCCTACCTTTAGGGCACCTCCAGGTGCCTAAGAATAGAATTGAAAAAAATATTTCGAGTTGGGAGGGATCTGCAAAGATGAATTAATCCAACTGCCTTCTCAAATATGGCCCTGGAGCGTGCAGAGCTCTTCCGCTGACCAGACAGAAAGGTGCCCCAGAACGAGATGCAGGTCTTTGTTCATTCACTCACTAGAGATCCAGTCACTATAAAGCTGAGGCACATTCCCACCCCTGCACTGTGGACATTTATTTCAGGGCTCTCATTTAAAGGAAAATAAAAAAAAGGCCCTAGGTGTTTGCCAGGTGCCTGGAGTGCCAAACACAACTCCATTCATGAAGAAAACACAGCACAGGACCTCCAGGAGAGCCGTGCCCTGTGGCAGCTGGTGAGGGACAGACATCGCAGGGCCTCCCAAAGGGAACCAGTGCCCTTGTGCAAGAACCTGATGACCAACACCATGGCACAAATGCAAGGTCTGTGCCCTCTACACCCAGGGCTGCTGCAGGACGGGGAGGCAAATCACACCAGGGTGCCCTCCCCTGTACCTGTCTTCTCCAGCCTTAGCATTCTCCTCTCTCTTAACATCTACTTCCCTGCCTGAGGATACAAAAGAGAAGATGATAATAATGTTCCCAGAGTGGCTTCAGCAAAAGCTGTCCACCGCCAATGTCTTTCTCTGCATACCTCACAGCCCTGTGGGCAGGAGCGCTCACCAGGCCACTTGCCATCATTTACCAGCAGTCCTGGCTAACCAGGGAGGTCCCGGGTGACTGGAGGTTAGCAATGGACTGGAGGATGCCAATCTAGAGGAAGGGCCACCAAGGAGAATCCAGGGAACTCCAGGCCTGTCAATCTGGCCTCAGTACAGGGGAACGTTATGGAGCAGATCACCCTGAGTGTCATCATGCAGCATGCACAGGATGACCAGGTCATCAGGCCCAATCAGCATGGGTTTGTGAAAGACAGGTCCTGCTTGACCAACCTGATCTCCTTCTATGACGTGACCCACTCAGTGAAGAAGGGAAAGGCACTGGACATTTGCTGGGTAAAAAAATGGCTGGAGGGTGTCCTGGTTTGAGGTAAAACAGAACTAATTTTCTGTTCAGTAATTTTACTTTTTCAGCTGGGTATCTTCTAACTAACTAAACTCTGAAATTAACAGCATATTGTTCAGAAACTGTTCGCTCTCACAGTGATAAGACCTGATTATACCAAGGAATGGTGTGCAGAGAGGCCCTTGCTTACACTTATTGCTATAACAACCAAGGTCAGGCAAATTTGTTATTTGTACCATTGGAGGATCAAAGCGGAAAAGCGTAGAGGGGTCACACCTGCAGGGAGGAACGGACAGGACAAGTGACCCAAAACTGACCAACAGGGTATTCCATTCCATCCGCATCATGCTCAGTATAAAAGCTGAGGGATCAAAGGGTCAACTCTCTTCCTTCAATGGCCAACATCCAAGGAGGACCCTGTCTGTTCATCTGCCTTTGATCCCAATCCGAGCGTTCCTGACTCCAGACCCAGGATCCAGCTCCTGTCCATTACTGAGTCCAGCCTGGGATTTTCCCCTGTGCCTGCTGGTGATATGATCACCATCCTGGGAGCTTGATACTGTTTTGTATATACTGTATAACTTTTTTCTTTTCTTTTTATTATTTATTATTTATTATCTATTAATATTTCCATTAAAGTAGTTCAGTTTTTTCTAAACTCATAAATCTCTTCTTTATCTCTTCCTCTCCTGTCTGTTCGTTAGGGGGGGGAGAGAGGGGTCATCTGTTGTTCTGA